ATATACTGTATCACTGGTTTCAGATGTAGAGGTCAGTGATTCATCAGTCTTATATGCAGTGCTCATTACATCACATGCCCTCCTTAATGGCCATCACCCAGTTCCCCCATCCCCTCTACCCACCTCCCTTCCCTCCAGCAACCCTCAGTTTGTTTCCTATGATTAGGAGTCTGTTATGGTTTGTCTCCCTCTCTGGGTTTTCATTTTGTTTTATTTTTTCCTCTTTTTCCTTATGATCCTCTGTTTTGTTTCTTAAATTCCACATGAGTGAGATCATATGATAATTGTCTATCTCTGATTGACTTATTTCGCTTAATATAATATCCTCTAGTTTCATTCATGTCATTGCAAATGGCAAGATTTCATTTTTTTGATGGCTGTGTAATATTCCATTGTGTGTATGGGTGTGTGTGTGTGTATACCACATCTTTTTTTTTTTTTTTTAAAGATTTTATTTATTTATTTGACAGAGAGTGACACAGCAAGAGAGGGAACACAAGCAGGGGGAGTGGGAGAGGGAGAAGCAGGCTTCCCACCGAGCAGGGAGCCTGATGCAGGGCTCGATCCCACGACGCTGGGATCATGACCTGAGCCAAAGGCAGACGCTTAACGACTGAGTCACCCAGGCACCCCTGTATACCACATCTTCTTTATACGTTGATCTGTCGATGAACATCTGGGCTATTTCATAGTTTGGCTATTGTGGACATTGGTGCTACAAACATTGGGTGCAGGTGCCCTTTCGAATCACTGCATTTGTATCTTTGGGGTAAATACCCTGTAGTGGAATTGCTGGGTTGTAGGGTAGCTCTATTTTCAATTTCTTGAGGAACCTCCATGCTGTTTTCCAGAGTGGCTGCACCAGCTTGCATTCCCACCAGCAGTGTAACAGCGTTCCCCTTTCTCCACATCCTCACCAAAAAGTCATTTCCTGACTTGTTAATTTTAGCCAGTCTGACTGGTGTGAAGTGGTATCTCATTGTGGTTTTGCTTTGTATTTCCCTGATGCTGAGTGATCATTTTTCATGTGTGTGTTGGCCATTTGTATGTCTTTGGAGAAATATCTGTTGATGTCTTCTGCCCATTTCTTGATTGGATTATTTGTTCTTTGGGTGTTGAGTTTGGTAAGTCAGTTTTGGATAGGTTTTGGATACTAGTCCTTTATCTGATATGTCATTTGCAAATATCTTCTCCCATTCTGTTGGTTGTCTTTTGGTTTTGTTGACTGTTTCCTTTGCTAGCACCTGTGGATTCTAATATTCCTCCTCACGAATCTACAGTGGTTCTCTGTGTTTTTGGTTATGTTACTTTAAGTTTCATCGCTTTTATTTTAAAGCTTTTTGTAATTTTGCCACATTGTATCCGTTTAACCCCATTTCTTCCAGTTCTTCCACACCTAGGAATAATTCTTCCAGTCCTAATTCTTTTACACGTAGAACCAGTTTTAGCATAGTTCCATCATCTACCATTTTTTTCTGGTAAAAATAACTGGAAGATTTTACATAATGGATGTTGAACACATAAAAGTTTTTTCTGTAAATAACTGAAATGTTGTAGAAGTCTTAATACTATTGAGCCTCTTAAACATGAATAATTGAGTTGCTCTCATCATCTTATCCATCAAGAATCATAGTAAAATTGGCAGAATCTGTTTTACCTTGTGGTTTATTACAGGGTATTGACTAGTTAATTGAATCTTGGGGAGGGCCATGACATGAAGCTTTTTTGTTATATATCTTGGAGCCATGCAAGATATGCCCAGGCATGCCATACCATGTATCTAATCGATTGCCTTTATTGCACACATGGTCTCTATGAAGATGGGGACCAATCACTAGAACTTCTATTAGAGCCACCACAGAAGAATCAGATACCTCCACCATGATGTTTGCGAGGCCACTGCCTCAGATCCCTTACTTCTTCCTTCCAAATACTGCGTATTTAAGTATGCTTGGCAATGCCTGTGCCATATGTTGAACCGTAGGTGGAGTTGACTCTGGGAAATGTTAGTAGTTTTCCATCCTCTGCAGTGTTTGAAGGTGTGCTTGAAAGGGGATTTGAATGAGTGTTGAGTATCTACTGCATTTATAATAAAAGTAATGAAAATAAAAATGACACTGGAGTTTCCTTTTTCAACTGTAGATCTTCCTTGACTTACAATGGAGTTACCTCCTGATAAACCCATCAAAAGTTGAAAATATTGTCAATTGAAAATGCATGTAATACACTTAATCTACTGAGCATTATAGCTTAGCCTAGCCTACCTTAAATGTGTTCAGAGCACTTCCATTAGCCTACAGTTGTCCTATTTTATAATAGTGCTGAATATCTCCTGTAATTTATTGAATCCTATACTGAAAGTGAAAGACAGAATGGCTGTGTGGTACAGAATGGTTGGAAGTATATTGGATGTTTACCTTCATGATCCCATGGCTGACTGGGACCTGTGGTTCTCTGCCTATGCCCAGTATCATGAGGGAGTATCCACCACATTTCTCTAGCCTGGGAAAAGATAAAAATTTATAGTTGGTTTCTACTGAATGCATATTACTTTCACACCATTGTAAAGTTGAGAAATTGTAAAGTGTTCATCATTAAGTTGGACCATTGTAAATTGACGACTGTATGAGATTGGCAGCAATCAAAAGTTTGCTAACTTTTGTGTTAACAAGAACACAGGGGAATGGCTACTCACACATTCCAGTAAGAATATAAATTAGTAAAACGCGTGGAAGACAAAATGGCATTAACTGTCCAAATTGCAAATGAATATACCCATTGATACTTCAGTTCCCATTTTGGAATTTATCTTATATAGTCATATAATTTGGAAACATATGTCTGTCACGTAGGGGACTGACTAAATAAATTCCAGTATATCCATACAAGGAGAAATTCTGCAGCCACTAAGGAGAAGGATGTGGTAGACCTTTGTAGACTGATTTGGAAAGATCTCCAAGGTACAGTAAAGTGAAAGAAGCAAGTTCAGAATAGAGCGAATGCTATTCCATGTTTGAGAGAGACAGAGACAAAATGTGTGTGTGTGTGTGTGTGTAAACTGTAACAATTTCCATTTCTGGGAGGGTCAGAAAATGAGGATTTGATGTGACAAGGCTAGGAACCATGCACATCATGGAACTGATTTAACGTAAAATGTTTACTAGATATTTAAGAAACTGATAGCTGTTTGCATTGTAGAAGAAACTGGGGTTGAGGAATAGGACTGGAAAAGAGACTTATTTTTTTTTTTTACTTTGATACATTCTGGATTTTGCATGCCAAAAAATAATGTGTTTTAAATTAGCTCTTGCTGCTATCTCTAAAATATGTTTCTGAAAATAGATTATGTAGGGCTATGATTTATCATTAAAGAGTTTGTATATTTGTGAATAAATTAAGCACACTAAGGAAATTTTTCTCAGTGGTATTAATATTAGGGTGTTGTGTTGTGGGGAGCAGTGTACTATAACTGGTTAGTGTATACGTTATCTGTTATTAATAGTACAAAGTAGGTGAAAATTAGAAAATATCTTTTGGAAATTTACTCCTGGAAGTGAAATGAGTATGCTTTCTACTTAGAAAATGTTTGTGTTTGTAAGTCATTTTACCATTTCGACTATTAGTTTTTATATGTAGAAAAGATGTAATATAAAAATATATGATTAATAAATCCATGATATTAATATTAGGTAAGAACTTAGTCCCTTTGTCTTCATGGTAAACACAAGCAGTACTACTGTTCATTATATAATGTAACTTGGCTTTTCTTAACATAAATGTTAATATGGAGAGAACAGTTTACATTTGCTTTTCTGAATTAGTGAGATGAATATGAGAAAATTATTAAAACTTTAACCTTAAATTGTTACATTTTTCATTGAGACTTTTGTGTCAAAGTAGGTATTCAAGGAAATGGTAAATTGTTGATGTAGGAGATTATCTAATTAAAAGTTCTGCTAAAAGGTTTTGCCTCATTTAAGGAACCTTGCAAAACATCTTAACATCATATTTCTTTGTCAGCTTGCACATATTTCTAATATCTTCTACCCCCAGTAAATGTTGGGATGCTTTGTTTAATGTAACCTCAGTCTAGAACTTTTGATCTGTTCCAGACCATCAACTGCTTATTTATTTGAAGGACCTAATACTATTTTATCAAAAACATTTGACTGCAGTGAAAAGATGGGAGCTTAAGTATCTGATCAATCAGTTTGAAATCAATTTGAGAAAAGGTAGGCTTGAAGCATATAGGAGAACATACTACTTTTCCTAATAGGATATTATGACCCAGTTTCAGTTACAGCCTCTAAGTCAACAGTCTCCAAAGTGGGATACACAAACCTATTTGGATATACTAAGAATATTAGAAATTTTACTATGTATATTTTGGTAGTAGTACATGATTTTAAAAGTTTGGAAACCACTGATATTAAGGCAATTTATTGTTTTGGTACCCAAAATAACAGTAATTAGGACTGAGGGGTGAAGCATTTATTACTCTCAAAGTAAACTTGGAATGTGAACTCAAACCTTTTCTTTTTAATAATGTGGACAAACCTTGATGGAAAATGTTGAGACATAAACATGCTTATAGTAATTCAAGGACATTTATCCAAATTGGGTTGCATCTTTTTGCATTAATATTTGTACTAAGCTTATATACCATTGTATGGACATTTTGTAACCTGACGTTTTCTCTAAGACTTTTGCCATTTGAAAATACAGATAATATTAACACCAAAACCATATCCTTCCCTTTCAGTAATTATAATTTCAGGACATTACACATTGGTAGTTTTCCTCAGTATCCAGTTTGGAAACATTTTCTCTGATTGCTGTATGTTACATGGTACTAAAGAGATACCATTATTCCCCCTTGTACTTCTTCCCTGTAGTATGCATCCTATGAGAGATCAGCAAGTGATAATGGCTATAATTTATGAATGGGTGGCTATAATTTTTTTTTTTTAATGAAAAATGTTTTTGTGTTTTGACCTCAGATATTCAAGATTAAAGCAGTTCAACTGGCTGAGAAACTCCTTCCTGCCTTTAACACGCCTACTGGGATTCCTTGGGCAATGGTGAATCTGAAAAGGTAAATTTTATCTTTATATGATTATTCCTGTTCTGAAAGAATTAGTTTAACTTAATGTTAGAAATTTCTAATGATCTCTCCCCACCATACTTTCTAAGACTTAAATTGTTTTTCTCTCTATATATGCAGAAATGTATTTCTTTAAAGCATTCTTTTTTTTTTATTAAGTTCTTTACTTTGCCACAGTTCACTGGCCTTAACTGTATTCCAGTTTCTCCAAGTCTATTTTTTTTCCTCACCTGTTTGTTTCTTTTATTTGCTTATTCATTTCCATTTCATGCTCTAATGGATTCAGAGTGCTTTCCCTCTCTAATTTTTTGTATACTACCTGTTGATCTTCTTCTAAGTCAAAATGGAACACAAATATGCCTTAAAATCAGGGTTTCCCATTGCTGAATGATAAGGGAAGACATAATTCATGATGTTGACTATAGATAGGGTCCTTATTATGGTATTTGTACTATTGAAGTTCAAAGTGAACTCAACGTTCTTTGCACTTTGTTTCATTTTGATAGAAAATACTGGTTTCACTTAGAAATAGATGAAAAATTTTTTTGGATACCTTTATAAATCATGCAAAGATACATAATTAATATTAAAAATTTTGAATAATGTCAGCATATTTAACTTGCATTGGATTAATTTATGCTGACTGAAATTTTTGCCACTTAGGTTTTTCTCCAAATGAAATTTATTACTTCTCTTAATGTTGGAGCTTGGGAATTACATGAAAATTTGACACTTGTTCTACTTGCCTGCAGGCCCTTTAGGATGAAAGTTAGGAGAATTTATTTTTCTGGAGTTGTGATTCTGTGACATAAATTATTTGAAAAAACTAATCTGTTTTAGTCATTTCTTTGTAATGGAGAGTTTTATAGAGTTTAGATTTCCATTGAGAAATTAGTTATTTGTTTTTTTTTCCTTTTTTTAATTATGTTAATCACCATACATTACATCATTAGTTTTTGATGTGAGAAATTAGTATTTAATACTGAACATTAAATTTAACTTTACTCTTCTCCAGTTTCATGCACTATATGTAATGTATATTACCTCTTTGCGAGGGGAATAAGTCAGCTGGAGCTCCAAAGCAACCTGCACTGAAGGAAATGGCCCAATGATGTATATGCACCTGTTCTCGTTCCTTAGTTTTATGACAGATTTTCTGATGTTTCCTTCAGTACCATTGTCAGTATCCTATAACTTTCTTACATAATAAATTTAATTAATTTAAAATTTAATTCTGAGATGAAGAAAGAATGCAGGACTTCTTTTTGTCTCTATGGAAAAAAAATCTAGCTTAAACCACAAAACTTCAAACACCTATTGAGATGAAAGTAGAAAGATATTCAACAATCATGCCTTGAACATTTTTATAAACTTAATTTTCATTTCACTTCTGCATATATATTCATACAAATACATATTTTATTTGAGTTTATAGATCACAAATATAATTATTTACCTATTTTTTCTAAGTTTTTTTTCTTTCTCTTTTGATTGAGGTCTGCCAATGTCTTACACATAGACTTTCCTCCTCTCTTGCTGCCTGAAAGCCAACCCCTGTTAACACCTAGGCATATTTATCTTCTACAGTATGATACAGCATACAGAAACACAAACATGTTCTGGTGTGGCTTTTAAAATTTTGTTTGGGTTTTTGGCTGCTTGCTTTTATATCTCTTATTTTTCTCACTCAATAGTATTTCCTGGAAGTACTCTTCCACATCCCCTGATAAAGCTCTAAATCAGTGTTTGTGATAACTACATAGTGAAACGTACTATCATACATTGGCTATAATGCTATACATAGGTTAGACATAATTGATTCCATCATTTCCATGTCAGTGGTATTTGTTTCCATTATTTTGCTAACATAAACATTGTTACAGTAGTATCCTATTATATATGTCCTTGTATAATGGGGATTTTTCTCTGATTCTCAAGAATATGATTGCTGGATCAGAGACTCTATGTCTTTTTATTCTCGAGTGTGGGATTGCTGGATCAAAGGGTATATGCATTTTACCTTTAATAGTATTCCCAAAATGTTTTCCGAAAAGACTGTAGTTCATCATATTTCTACCTACAATGTGTGAGATCCCTAAATGTCTGCAGGTGTAAGTTCTGTTTAATTTTTGATAGACTGATAACTCAAAAGTGTTACTCATTGTTATCTTCATTTCTTTTTTCTGGCTAGTGAATTTGAATATCCTTTTCATAAATATATTGGACATTTAGATGTGCTTTTTTGCTTTATTTATAAAAATTTTTGGGCGCCTGGGTGGCTCAGTCATTAAGCGTCTGCCTTCAGCTCAGGTCATGATCCCCGGGTCCTGGGATCGAGACCCACATCGGGCTCCCTGCTCGGCGGGAAGCCTGCTTCTCCCTCTCCCACTCCCCCTGCTTGTGTTCCTGCTCTCGCTGTCTCTCTCTCTGTCAAATAAATAAAATCTTTAAAAAAAAAAAAAATTTTTTTTATTCATAAGCTTTACATTTTTATATATTCAAATCTTATAACTTTTGAGTTTATAATTTTTGTTAAAAAGATTGTCTCCATCGATATTTTATAAGTCTTCTAGATTTCCATTAAAGGTTTTTATAATATGCTTTTAAAAAAATTGCAAGTATGGTCTTAGCGGTAGATTTTTCATCAGTTGCCTTTGCCAGGTTCAGGACGTTCTGTTCTCTTCCTATTTCACTTAGAGTTTTTATCATGAATGGGTGTTGAATATTGCCACATACTCTTTTTCTTCATCTGTAGAAATAACATTTTTCACCTTTGTTCTGTTACTGTGGTAAATTACTTGTTAAATTTTCAAATGTTAAACCGACTTTGAATTCCTGGGATAGTCCTTGGCCATAATGTATTATCCTTTTTATATTTAGTCGTATTTGGTATTAGAGTTATCTGCCTTCATAAAATGAAGTGGAAAATAGTCTCCCTTTGTTTTCTGAAAGCATCTGTGTTACATTGGTGTTACTTCTTAAACGTTTGATAGATTCACCTAAGCAACTATCTGGGCTGAAAATTTGCTTTGGGGGAAGGTTTTTTTTTTAAGATTTTATTTATTTATTTGACACAGAGAGACACAGCGAGAGAGGGAACACAAGCAGGGGGAGTGGGAGAGGGAGAAGCAGGCTTCCCGCTGAGCAGGGAGCCCAATGTAGGGCTCGATCCCAGGACCCTGGGCAGACGCTTAATGACTGAGCCACCCAGGCACCCCTGTGGGAAGGTTTTTAATAACAAATTCAACTTTCATATATGTACATATATATGTATATATGGCTATTCAGATTTTATTTTCATTTTGTGTCAGTTTTAGTTAATACTATTCTTAAGGAATTTCTCCATTTCATGGAAGTTACAGAGTTTTTGGTGTGCAGTTGTACATATTATTTTCTTATGCCTTTCATGTTTCTAGGCTTTGTAGTGATAATCCCTCATTCATTCCTGATAATGGTAATTTGTTTTCTCCTTTTATCAATCTAGGTTGGCATTTATCAATTTTGTTAATCTTTTCAAAGAACTAACATTTGTCTTTAGCTGCATTTAGTAACATTAACTCTATTATGTTTTCTGTTTCATTATTTTTACTTTTTCCTTCCTTTTCCTTTCTTAGAGTTATTTAGCTCTTTTTAAAGCTTTTTACATTGGAACTCTAGGTCTGATTTTTATATTTTTCTTTTTTCCCTAATGAGCATTTTTTTCTGTAAGAATTTTATTTATTTATTTGCTTATCTATTTTCTTTTCCTATAAGATTTTTAAAGCTGTAAATTTCCCTCTAATGACTGCTTTGGGTACATCCCAGATATTTTAATATTTTTTTTTTCATTATTACTCAGTTAAAAATATTTTATAATTTTCCTTAGGATATCTTCTATGACAAATCAGTTATTTCTAATTGTGTTGTTTAATTTGCCAAATTTTAGAATCAGGGAGATTTCTTAGGTATCTTTTTTTTTTTTTTTTTAAAGATTTTATTTATTTGAGAGAGAGAGAGGGCACGCATGTGCCTGCATGAGCGCAGGGTTGTCGGGGGAAGAGGGGCAGAAGGAATATGGAGAAGCAGACTCCCTGCTGAGCAGGGAGCCCGACATGGGGCTCATTCCCAGGACCCTGAGATTGTGACCTGAGCTGAAGGCAGGCACTTAACCAACTGAGCCACCCAGGCGCCCCTTAGGTATCTTATTGTTTTGATTTCTAATTTAATTTAATTGTGATCATAAAGGATACTCTGTATAACTTAAATCCATTTAAGTCTCTTGTGCTTGTTTATGGCTCAGCATCTGGTCTTTTTTGGCAAATACACTTGAATCTGTATTCTGCAGTTGGTAGGGTAATGTTTTATAAATATTAGGTTAAGCTAGTTGATGGTGTTGTTTAGCTGTCTTTCCTGATTTTTAATTAATTTAATTAGCTTAATGAAGTTAATTAATGATATACTTTTTTATGAGTTGCTGAGATGAAGTATTAAACTGTTTCCAGTTATGATTGTGGAGTTGTCTACTTCACTTTATTTCTGTAAGGTTTTTGCTTCCTGTATTTTGAAGCTTTACTTTTAGGTACTTACTTACTAAAAATTTATGATACATCTTTCTGATGACTTCAACCTTTATTATTATGGTGTGCCCCTCTTCATCTCTGGTAATATTTTTACTTGGGAGTTTGTTTTATCAGATGTTAATATAGCTACTCCCCCTTTCTTACGCTTACTGCTTTTGTGGTGTATCCTTTTAATTTTCAACCTAACTGTATCATAATTTTAGTCCTTTTGGAGACAGCATAAGTTGGATTTTGCCAGTATGAGAATACTAGACCATTAACATGTAATGTAATTACTGATGCAGTCTGATTTAAGTTCTCTGTTTGTCCTTCCTTCATTTCTTTTGTCCTAACTTTTGAATTGGTAAATGTTTTAGAATTCTCCTTTATTTATTAGTGTTTTTACTTAATACATTTTTGGGGTGGTTGCTATAGAAATTACATTGTACATAA